GCATGGCCGGGGCTCTCTGCTGGCTCTAGCCAGTCCATGGGAGGCGCCACTTACGTGCTAAAGGGGGATGGCCATGATAAGAGGCAACTGGGCGCCGATGAGAGGGACTCCTGTATGCCGATGATGATAGGCAACCGCTTAGGCCGGAACACACCCGTGCGCTATGGGCAACGGGATAGCTCATTCAGTGCCAGTCCATGCATTGTCCCCATGAGCATGTGTGTGCCCATGAGGAACCCTAGTAACCATGCAAGCCATTAACCAGGGCCGCCCCGCAAGGGATGTTGGTCTAGGAGTGCCAAGGTTAGTTACCCAAGGGGGTCGACCACCCCTCCTCAAAGAATACGTTTGCTTTTGGAGGTTTGCCTAAAGATGACATGAGTTTCCCCAATAATCTTACTAGAAAAAATGACAGTGATGTCCCTTAACGTAAGCCCGCCGATTACCTCGGGCTCGAGAGTAGGGGCAATTGATGAGGGATAATTTGGCTCAACTAGTGACATGATGACACATTGAGCGAACCATCGACTTGGTGACATCTCAGCATCGTCGGACACCTCAACAATCCAAGTCACCTTAGGCACCTCGGGTCACTTAGCTAGGACCGGGGTCCGAGCAGCTTGCCACAGTCACTGACCTGCCAAGGTGCCACGTAGCCTCCTTCTAGAAGAGAGCCAGCTCTCTTCGATCTCCTTGGGATCACGTCGCACACCAACAAATCTTATCTCTATCCCACCCGAATTGGACGAACCTGGATAAGCCTTATCAGTTAACATGGAGTCCATCTTCGGGTGCAGAACAGACTCCGGGTTAGACAAGCCAATGATCTAGGATACATTTTGTGAGGTTTACGGTAGCTCGCCAATATAAAAGCATCGCCTCCAGCCTCATAAGGTACACACGATTTAGCTCTCACAATTTGCTATTCTAAGCTATCAGTTCTCTCACAAATCTCCCACACAAACTTAAGCATTGGAGTGCCCATACCGGGTAAAGTACCCCGGGACCTTTAATCTCTCTTTCTTGTAGTTTAACCCGACCAAATAGTAGCCCGACGTCCAAACTACCTTCCAGCAAGGAGCAACCAGATCAAGCTACATCACTTATTTTTCCACCTATTGTGTGGTCCCACCACTTATAAGTAATTATTTGAATACGTACTTATTTTAAGTGGCACCAAACAAGGGCTTTGTTGGAAACTTATCAAAGTTGCTTATACACCACCGAATGCCCATATACACTACCTCCAAAATAGTTCTTTTTCTTTTGTTGTATTTCTAGAACCAACTTGATGATAATCTATATGTAATAATGAGCCAATCCTTTAAAAAATAATATCTTTTAAACAATTTATGTTGCAATGCCAATCCCAAACACACCTATTTGACATGAAATGTTGTCGCCTCTCTAAATGTTTGAGAATGAACTGGCAATGTTATCAAACACAATCTATTATATCAGCCAAAAATTGAGAAAGAAAAGACCAAGTTGCTTATTCAAATTAATCCGGACTTCCACATCCCTAATTTAGTCTAAGAAAGTAAATTGGAGCACAAAATTATTTTTGGATAAATTACTAAAACATCCCTCGAAGCTTATGGTCATTGTTGAAACCTCCCCTAAAGTTTTGTAATTGCAACAACCTCTTCTGAACTTTTTAACATAATTGCAAGTTGATCCCTTTTATTAGAATCCTCTAACAATAGGCATAAAAATATCCAAAATACCCATACAGTTACTTTTGACCAAAAGGTTTATTTTTTAAATTTTCTCTTCATATCTATTACTATTCTAAACCTTTTCAATCTATTTTCTGAAGTTACCCTTTATATCATCTTGAACTGCAGTTTTAAACTCATATATATATATAGATATATTTGTTGTTCATAAACTTTGTGTTGTTTTTTTTCAAAGCCAACCTCATTAGAAATTGTATGGATATTGTGGACATTTTAATGCTTATTGTTAGAGGATTGAAATGGTTTCATCAGTGGTAAAAAACTTAAGGGAAGTTTTTAGGAATTTACCTTTCTTTTTTTGGTAATGGAAGCGCAACACTAACTGAAACTAAAAGATGAGAAACACATGCATACGTAGATCTGGGATTGCAACTATTATCACACGACTGTGTGCAACTCAGTTTCTCGTACAGTTTGATCGGAATCTGGTTAAGACATTGGAAAGCTAGCCAATATTTCTATTTACACCCTTCTGCCTTTTTGCCAGCAGTGGCACATGCGCCTAAAGCCCGGAAACCTGCCTAAAGGGGGGTAGGGATCCTCTCCCAACAGGTTGGAATGCTGTTGGCACCGTGTATTGGTAGCGCGTCCAAATTTGCCTTAATAAGCTGTACTGGGAAAATATCTTGCTTTGCCTATGATGTCGCCTGGCCAGGCTCTCCCAGCACTCCTTGCAATCACATCAGTGCCCCACCACAGGGAGATCACATCTGTGCCCCACAAACATCTAGCAGCATATCTCAATCGTGTATTAGGAATATCTTTCACTGACAACTTCGAGATATGATCCCAATGTACATTGAGATGTGCATGTGGGATCATTTGTGGCGGGGCACCTTCTGTGGGGTGCAGATGTGATCTCCACCATAGGACGTGCCCTATAGTATATCCTAACTGTGTATTAGGAACATCTCCCAATGATAAATATGGGAGATATTTCCAATGCATGTTGGGATGTACATGTGGGGTGCTTGTGAAGCATTGATGATGTGAATTCCATTAACAAGGGCAGAGTTTGGCATCGATGTCGTTTTTTGAGAAAACGGCGCCATGTAGGCACCACATCAGAAAAGGTGGTGCTTCAGAAAATGGCTTCTTATTTGGTACCGTTTTTCCAGAAAAAAAAATGTTACTCTAGACCACGCCTTAAAAATTGGAAATATATGGTCTGAAGAAATGCAAATTCAATATTTTCTCAAAAAAACAGCCTGTTGCTTTCAGCAGTGCAATAATGTGGCATCATCTTGAATATGATGTTGAATAATATAGACCAATGCTGAAAATGGTTCTGCAGCATTGGTACCAAATAAAACCAATGTTACCCAGCAATGATGCCAAACTCTTACAAGAATTCAGCTTCAGTCAGTGCAATTCCCAATCAAACAGCCTTTACAGCCTTGCATTGGAAATACATCGTCGTACTTATGTATTTTATTTCAAGGGGAAATATTATTCAACATCATATTCAAACGGTGCGACTACGAATGCAAAATTGTAAAAGGCTGTTCGAACGGTGCGACTACGAATTTGCACTGAACAAAGCCGAACTCCACTAACAGTGCTGAAGCTGGAGGCATGGCTTTGTGAACTAGCATGCGACATGAAGAGAGCCTGTGGACAGCGTAGGCTAGAATATTTCAATTTTCAGTATAAATTTTGTATTTGACACTGTGTTCAGTTCTGTACCTGCTTCTTTGTTGTATCTGAGTATGAGAGTTGTGAGAAGGAAAATTCAACAGAATTTTCATATTGAAGAACTATTCAGGCCTTTTGCCGTCATCTTCTGACAATCTTTTGCAATCTCTTAAATAACTTAATTTAGTACAAAAGTTCGCAGGGAAGTAACGTTAGGTTAAGTTAGTTTTTAAATAGATTTTCCAGTGTGAGTTTTAATTTCGATAGCTTCTTCAACTTGGCTCTATCAGAGCATCTCAATCATAACACTAAAAGTAGTAGCTTTCTAAGGATTAGTGGTTAGCAAATACCCATTGGCAGTTTTTCTACATCATCGCTTTTTTCCTTTAGTACCATAAAGTAGATTTATATACCAAATTTATTAGTTGCAAACTATATGCAATATATATATACATGAAACTTTTAATAAGACTTAAATTTGCGGGCTGGGCTGATCCCAAGCAATCTTAAAATGCTCATGCTACCCTATAAAAACTCAGCCACGGCCCAGCCCATGATCCATCCCTATATATTATTATATTATCTTTATTTATTGGATATACTTGTCTAATATACACCATTTCTACTAGAGGCTTAATGCACAATAGAAAAATTATACTTAGGGGGCATTTTTTTTTTTTTGAATTTTGAGAGGGAAAAAGTTGGTCAATGGATTTTGATTCCCATTGACTAAGGAACCCATGTTCTTTTTTCAGATTTATGTGAGGACTAGGGAAAGTTTATTTTTCCGGGTAAATAACTTTTCCACATAGGGGGAAAGCTTCCAACACTTGAATGGAACAAAAATATCCCTTTTAATAATGGATTTTTATGGCTAAAATAGTCATTCCCTTATTTACCTAGGAAATAAAAGAACATGGGTAAATGCACTTAACACGGGTAAATGGTTCCGAGGAAAAACTTACCCAGGTAATCAAATTCCATTATATTTTCTTTGTTGCAAAATTTCATTTTATAATTTATCTTCATATTTTATGTTAATTCAATACACGAAATTTGAACCTTTAATGAAAATATTATATTAGTAAAATGAATTAAAAATACTTGACCTTATGAACTTTAATGAAAATATGATATATAATTAAATCCACTTTGTCAACATGTGTTTGTGTTAATTTTATATTGATATATGCATATTCATTAGGGTGGATGCAAATCCAATACAACTATAAATGGATATGGTGATTTTTTTAATCTAATTAAATCTAGTATAATTGAATTGAATTTTCAAATTGGAGTTAGATAATTATAAACCATCGACATCCTTATGGCAATATCCATTAAGACATTCATATATTTCTTCTAAACGATGCTCAAAAGCCTCGATCATCAATAGATAAATAAATTATTGAAATTGTAAGTCCAAATTGCACCGAAAAGAAATGAGAAATAAGAAAAGACTTGTATATAAGAATGGCTCATAACCCAATAGCTTATGCTCTTGGATTATAAATGGTATTCATCTTTTAAGGCCCCATTCGCTTTTCAGTAAGTTATTTATTCGGATAAATACATTTACCCGGTAAGTGTTTTCCAGGAAAGATTACCACCAGTTTTGCACTTTGCTTCTTCTAAGTTATAAGTTCTAACCATTAATAGTCGTATTGATTTAGTATACAATAAAGGTTAATGTGTTAACACGTAATGATACAAAGCTAGCCTTAAAGGCTTAAAGTCTTAAACTACCACTCATTCTAAACCAGAGCATCCGGAGGGATTTCATTTTGTGATCATCATTCAGAGCCCAAGGTGAGTTCTGGACATCGGCTGGAAAATTCGCTCAGGATCCGACTCCAAAGCATCAGCCAATTCAGGCCATAGAATTGCAGAGACGACCCATGAGCCATCACCCCTTGCACTAGGCCGTTGGTTCATGTATCCAACTCCAATCTTCTCAACAGTCGTACAGACCGTCCCGAGGACTGGAGGCCCAAACCCAAAGTTCATTTCAGCCACTGGAAACCGACGCCCAGATGACAAAACCAGAGCAGGCCCACCCCGACCCAGCACAATCCTGGATAGCATCAGCCCAGGCCTGTGAGACTCAACCCAATCGATCAAATCCAAGAAGTGAGCTTCATTAGTGGCCTTTGCAATTGCACCATGAACAATCCTAGCAACATCTGAGAGTGACCCCCGCTTCAAATCTTCCACACTTGCCTCTCCAAAGACCACGGACAAGACATTTCCTATGTAGTTAGCCATGGAATAATTTGGGTCGTCCCTGCACATCCTTGTCCTTCCATCCACCAACCAACCCATCTTGCAGTGGGTTTCAGACTCCTCAATCGTCCTCACCATCACCTTCCATATGTAGGCTGAGAAAGCCTCAATCTTTGTTCTCTTCACGCCATCCACACAGGAAAGCCTTTGCAGCCGATCGACACTCGATGCATCTATGTGATAGAGAAGCTTGAGCAAGGTGTGCTTTGTGGGTATGTTGGCTATCTCCTCTATGCTGCAGGAGATGAAAGCATCGTCTAGGGAGGGGTCATAAGTGGGAGGACTACGAGCTACGAGATTCCTCCGGTGATCCGGTATGCAAGAAATCGTCTTTCCTTGAGCTATCTCCGACCATGCCAGAAGAAACCTACCGAAGGAACTTGCGTCACCAAGAGCATGATCAAAGGTGAAGGTAATAGAGATGCCCCCACAAGTGTAATTCGTAACTTGGACATGCAGAGGGTATTCGTGGTTGATGGAGACCAGTTTTCCTTGTAGAAACTGGTCGAGATTGTAATAGTCTAGCTCGTCCAAGGGAATGTTGGCGTGGGCTTCGACGACAAGGGCGCCGTGGTTGTCACAGATGATCTCCGGCTCGCTGGTCTTGGCGTTTGTTACAATTCGGCCTGCAAATGGGTAGTAATGAGTGAGCGTATCGGCAAGGGAGCTCGTGAGGCCATTGAGAACGGAAGCGAAGCTCTCAGCTGGTGGTTTCCTGTAGACGTAGAAGTAAGTGACAGGGAAACGGCCTGAAAGGAGGTCGAGGTTAGAGAGGGTCAGGACATGGGGTGGCGAGGAAGCACTACTGCTGGCCTTGACGACCATATTTTGCGTAAAGATTACACTAAAACCATCATGGATTTGATTCTCAATTGCCATTGAAACCATTGAAGAAATGCTGGGACAATTGCAAAGGCCAGAGCCTAACACTTCTGTTGGATACTCTTCTTGCCTTTTTATTACTGAACTATAAGATGTAATATGCATCTGACGGTCAGGATCTGTAATCAGTATATTTTGGAGAGCATCACTTAGGAGGGGTGGAACCATCAAAACAAATATCACCATAGAAAAACGAAGGGATGCATCAGATAAGTTCACATTGTGAAATACCCTGAAATGACATTCACATTATTCCTACTGCATGCCCTAGTGCTTGTCACTGTAAATAATCCCTAAAGGTAACACCCACCATGGACGGTCCAAAGTCCAAACCCCAATCTCTCTCTCTCTCTCTCTAAAGAAAAGAGAAGAGTATCTTGGGTCTTTCTGAAAGACTTGGATTGAAAGAGAGAAGCAAAGACAATATGATTGGAAATAAGATTCTTGGAAGAATCAATGGCTGTATTGTTGGTAGGCAAGAAACTTTCTGTGGATGGTTGAGCATGGCTGACGCCATGTGCAATGTTGCTATCATCGTTTGAAAGGAATATGGGACTAGTTCTTTTCTCTGACTGCTTTTTCTATTGCTCGTACACTGTTGAGCATCGATGCTTGGCGTGATCATTGCGTCATGCATGCATGGTGAGAGAGGTCAATTTACAGTGCAAAATATCTCCTTCTGGCTTCACTAGTTCTTCTCATACAATGCCCCCCCCCCCCTGAAGAAGTTTCAGATGTTCCTTTCTCCATGTTTCCTCATTTCTCTTTGCTCTTAAGTCCAACAACCAATTGGGGTCTCCTGCACAAGCCCTATTAAGCACATGCTTGAGAATTGAGGGGGGAATTTCCTGCACGCGCGCTTTGGCATGCTCAAATTGATAGTGGGGTAGGTGGTAAATTGAGAGGAGTCCAGAAATTTTGCCAAGCTAATCTAGAAGGTTCTGGATCCTTAATTTCTTCTTTCCCCATGTGTTTTTGAAAGGAAAGAAAGAATTAGAGAGAGTAGTGAAGACTGCAACTTTAGATCTGAAATATTTCCATTATAATTCTGGAATTGGAAGTTAAGTAGATAGCTAGCCCAGGCAAATGACCACAACTAGCTAAATTCTATATTCTCCCTCCTAGCATCATCCACAGCCAAGTTAATTAGTTGCAGTCGACTAAAACAGAAGAGTCTGTACCTGCCACAAATATGATGTGTAACACTGGCTGGGGCTGGTATACCAAATCAGAAGTAAACATGTCAGCTGCTGGTACATCTGGTATGTACTAGCCCCTGTTATATATATATACATCTTTTTTTCTAGCAGCTGATCACTCATCTAAGGCTGAAACAATTGACAGGACCAGCCAGTAAAGAAGCAAAAAAGCAGACAAGGGAATAGAAGCAAAACTCAGCCTAACAGCTAGTGTAGGTTTTCTACCAGGCTTAAGGTAACCCAATTTCAAAACCATACCTACAACTCCTGGTTTTAGTTCAAGTACACTTAGGCTGTGTTTGGTTTGAAGGGAAGGTAGGGAAACATGCATATACAAGGTTTGTTGAGGTTTCCCTACTTTTCCCTTTCTTTTCCTACCTTTTCTTTCAAACCAAACACAGCCATAGTATCCTGAATTTGGTGATGTGGTAGTTGCTTTTATTTTGAAAAATAAAATTACACACACACATAATTGTTGTCTTTGAATTGGAAATTGAAATGGGACCTAAGAGATTAGGGCTACAAATTAATGGTATGCAATTATCTAATCAATTCAAACTCCAATTTGATCCTATTAATAAGGGTGCCACAAATTCAATCCATATATAATTGAATCGTGAATCCAACCTTATCTGATCTTTTTGATATATATATATATAAAGGCTTCAAGTTTTTAGAGGCACTACTCATATAGTCATGGTTTTCAAAACTGGGCCGGACGGGATGGTGGGACCAGAAAAATTGTTTGTTTTACCCCAAAATCACTTTTTGGCCAAAAACCGTTGATTTGGTCAGCAAATCATTGACCCAGGTGATTGAACCATAGAATCGTCAATCCAGACAATGGTTTTTGGATGTTTTTTATTTTTTATTTTTGTTTTTCTGTCAGAGCAGGCCATCCGTTCAGATCGAACAGTTAAGTCGCTCGACCCGGGAACCGGACCCCAAATGGTTCCCAGTTTGGTCAAGTTTTAAAAGCCTTGCTTATAGTCCCTCTTGATGATTGATGCTCTCTTTATTACTATCATCACTTAAAAGCCTTAAATGTGAAAAAAAAAAAAAAAAACTAAAAAAACATAAGCAAATTTTGTAAGGTAATAACCTCGTGGCATCTTACTTCATCATGTTTTGCAAGTTGAATTATCAGGACTACAAAACATCAATCCATATTTTGGTGACTCGCCAACTCGGTAACTAGAAGAACACCTATTTATCGAGTCGGATTTTATCCCAACAGCCATTGTAGTCATACATCCAGGACATTTCGGTTTTGGAATGGGCCCGTCCAGTCCAAAATCAATTTGGACAGATTGGACGGACCAAAAAGACATAATGGATTGGACCAATCCGATCCAAAATATTTATTAGATTGGACTAGACCTGGTCCATCCGTAATAAATTTATATTGGATTTGGTTGGATTAAGCCAATATCCAGATCATTGATATAAGATAAGAATATAGGTGTCAATGGACCAGGTTTGAGTTGAAACCAATCTAAATTAAAATAAATTTGAACAAATTAGACGGTCTGAACATTAAATTGGACTATTCCAAATTATTCATTTGATTGGATTAGACCTGGTCCATTTGTAAAGGACTCACATTGGATTGGATCGGATTGGACCAAATCCAGTCCAATCGACACCCCTACCCACAAGGGGGGCCCCACAACGTCCTACAGCACATCAATCCATATTTTGGTGACTCGCCAACTCGGTAACTAGAAGAACACCTATTTATCGAGTCAGATTTGGTCCTAACAGCCATTGCAATCATACATCCGGGACATTTCCCTTATCCTTCAGAGTTCACATCACCCCCACAAGGGGGGCCCATAACATCCCACAGCACATCCCGTGTATTAAAAGCATCTCCCAATAATAATAAGTATAAAAATGATGAGACATCATCAGAAGATGATCTCAATACACTGCTGGGATGTGGGATGTTGTGGGGCGCTGATGTGAACTCTGTCCTTCATTGTAAGACGTTCAGATGTAAGGATGCAATGGTTGTTGAGACTGGTTGTTAGGACCCTATATTGGGATTAGATCGACACTTCTATTTACCATTGTCAAATGGATAAGATTAGATGATATATATGATTTGACTTATATAACAATGAAAACACCAAAATTATAGTATAGTACGATGTTAGAATCTAATTAATAAATCTAAGTAAGGGATATTTGATAAAAATAAAGTGATTGAATTGAAAATTATAAATAGGGCCTTTTTGCTTTTTATTTTAAGAAATAAATTTTTGACAAGGTTATGAGCTCCAATCCATCAACCAAATATACACTTTTCATGCTAAAATCAAATAATATTCCTAAGGCTGCGTTTGGAAATGATGCAAATGGAGTATAAATCTCGGTTTAGGGTAAATTTGCACTCTGGTTCATTTTTTCTTGTGTTTGGCAACATTATATTTATGCATTTACAAATGACAGACTAATGCATAATTACATTGATAATAAGATGTAAAAGTACATCAATAAAAAAGAAGTAAACTTGCATTCAAGTGGGCCTTTTGATAGAAAAAAAAAAGCATAAACTTCATTAGAATTCATATTTGCATCCATTACAGCTAAAAGTCTATTAGGTAAGAAGATAAATTTGCCAGTGCAAAACTAACCCAATTTTACAATTTATATGAACCATTTTACACTCTACATATTTGCATTCACACTTATTTATATCATTTCCAAACGCAACCTAAAGTGCCATTACTTTGTCCACATACACATTAATGATAAAGTCATATAATACTTACCATGATTTTGGCCATCTACATATATAATAATGCTAAAATCAGTTAACTCCTAAGAAGTAACAACATTTTAGTGATTTAAAGAAATTGGGTCTTAATTTTTATTGGAACCCAACCATTTATTAGGGAGTATTTACTGGGAGTGATGTTTCGGGATGTGGGTTTGGGTGAGATCCGGGTTACAAGCTCAGGTCATGTGTTTAATTGTTGGTGTTGAAGCAAGAGGGATGAGTGGAATTTTTGGGCCCGTGACCCCGTGTCACAAGTTAAACAAGAAATACCATTTAAAATCCATGTGATATGGGCTCAAAGAAAATCAGGACTCATCGATGCATTTCTTTACAATCTAAAGGTGATGGGACGGTTAGTGGGCACGATGGGATTTCTATAAGTAAATACATTGGAAACATTACTCATGAATTAAACATAAATGTATGAGATATTGATTTTCTTAATGAGCGGCTGAATACTATGTGAACAGAATTTTTGCTTTCAAGAGACGCCAGCTCCTTATAAGCAGTCTTTTGTAAAGTATGTGGTGATCTCAATTGAGATTTGAGAAGAAAAAAGATGGTGGTGCAGTTAGGCCCTTTTCGGCAACGTTCTGTGAGAGTGTTTCTTTCATTTTTGTCACTCTGGCAAAACAAAAACATGTTTGGTTAAAAAAAAAATTGCAAGAAATAAGCCATTCTCGAATGAGAACAGCAGCCAAAAAATGTATTCTTTGAGAGTGATAAATCAACACTCCCAAAGAACACATCCTCATGGAATATGCCGTTCCCACAATGTCCTATATGTTTTATGAACACATGCACGGTGTTCCCACATGAGAAAGAGGACAATGTTGTCATTTCACATGGAACTTATAATCTCCAGCTCCAAGCCCTAATCGCAAACTTCATTTGGTCGAACTTCTATCACTACAAACCTAGGGAGTTGTGAGTTGAAGATGCGCAAGTGGACGGTTGTCTCCGACGATTCTAATCTCTGGCGACTCTTTTTCGATGGGAATCACGTACTCAGGTAAGGTACGACTGTTGCTTCCATTTCTAGCGAGAAAAACTGTTTCCTGTTATGGTTTGGCGATTTGTCAATAATATTTCCGAACCATGTTCATTTCTCTGTAAAATGGAATGGAATCAGATTTTACAACAACTTTGTAATTTCTCTTGTCTAATTTTTAGAAGAACCATGGTTGTGGCTGGTTTGGCGATTTGTTAGTATTTCTAAATCAAGTTTTGTTTTGATCCTCAAGTTATCA